AACATTTTTTGAAAGGCATCCATTTTTATGTAAGAAAAGGCTGCTTTGATATGGTTAAAATATCAGTTATTTGGGGGCTGGTATCATCTCTTACAGGAGTGCTTTGATATTGATGCAGCTTATGTGGGGAAATAAATTTACATAAAAATATTTGTTTTCAATAGCATTTTTCTACAAAGAATTTTGAATTCTCCTCATATTAAAAAAGAATTGAACATGATAATAGTTTGTTCATACAGCAAACCAGATATGGAAAAGAAAAGTGAAAAGAAGTGAGTTGATTTGGTTGTACATTGTGTCAGTGATGTGGCTTCAGCATATGTGGCAAGAGAAAATGAAGGTCTGGAGTAGACATGATGTTGCTCTGATGAATTGGCATCACTCGTGAGATGACCTCTATCTAGACTGTGTGACCTCTGTCTAGACTATCACATGACACATATCTTACTCTTTGTGATGTGCATAAATTAATGTCAAGGATATTAAGTTTTGTTATGTTAATTAAGTTTTGTAATGCTACTCCATCATCAACTTTGATGGGACTTATACTTTTACTGCCTACAATACTAGTTCCAAACATTACTTCACATACCCATTGGTTGACTATTTCTATGATAAATCTAACCTCTAATTCTACCATCTAGTCTATCCAATGTAGTTCTACATTCATCCCTACAAATTGTTGAGAAATCAATTTTCATTAATTTCTTTTCTCAACTTAAGTCTTTTTCCGATGCTTACTTAAAAGTGTTATTTTTTTTTGCTTTTATGCCTTTAGGAAAGTTTTTAATATTCTACACATTTTCTCACTGTTTACATGCTCAAAACTAGTTTCTACAAATAATTTATTCGTGGTTAGGCCACTTTTCTTGGTTCTTTTAATTTTTCTCAAATCTCTTTTTGTATCATTCTTAAGACCATTTTTTTCTTGTTATGTTGCTAATGTTTTAAATATTATTTTTATTATTTACTTGAATAATAAAATCTGACATAGTGTAGGCATATGTATGTTATATTGCACAAAAACATTTCTTGCATGGATGCAAACTTGGGAAAAATATCTTTGTATTTATATTTACACAGAATTTATTAATCAATTATGGCAATAATTATTTGAAGAGAAGCTTCTAAGTTTTTAGCTCTTATAATATTTTTACAATTTATTTTTTCCTTATTTGTCATAATAATCATCATTTACAATACAATGTACAGGATACATTTAATGATTTTAAAACCTTAAAATCTATTAAAATGATACTTAAATACATTAATTTTATCTGAATCCAGGAATAATAGAACTTTACATTGAATATAAATACTGTCAATAAAAGATTATCAGTACTGTTAAAAGTTTTAAAAATCAGTATATTATCAATATACTGCAAATGAGATATCCACTTCTATAAAATTCAGGGTTTGTCTGTCTATCTATTGTGTAGGCAGCAGTTTTAATTTCTTTAGCCAAATTTTCTAATTTACATATATTTAGGCCCAGTGAGTATAGATATTGTATGAAGCTCAGTCACTAACATTCATTTTCAGTCATGTTTCTAGTTGTAGATATACTGTCTTTTCAATATTCAAATATTTTTAAAAAATCTGACATAGCAGTTATAGTTTATGGTGATTTTATGTATATGTGACTGGCAAAGTAAGATTCTTCATTGACTAAATATGTCAACAATTCGTGAATACATTTAAAACTGCATTTCCAATTTTAAAGAAGATTTTGTTTAGTTTCGAATTTTTTATTTTATGGTTAGGGCTTCTAATATTTAGAGTCTTTTTTTACAATTAATATTATACATATTATACGTGATGGCTGTTGATTTGTCAAATGAGTATGACCATCACTGACAAGTTTGTTCAATGTTTTTAGTTCTCTTGAGAACAACAATGGGTCTTGAAACCAGCAATCAATTTGCAAAGCTTATTGCTGCTGTTCTGTACAGGGCCTGGCCTGTTTTGTAAATTCTGTTCAGCTTCTTTTTAGTTTTTCATGTGACAGATGAGACTGAAGCAGTTTCTGCAAGTTTTCTGATGCACACTGCATATTAACTTATTCCAAACATAATACTGATTGTATTTTAGCAAATTTTTATCAATAAATACAATTCTTCTTGTGGTTAATGTGACCTGCAATGAAGAGATATAGTCTGCCACATTTATTACATGTAAATTAATGGATTGCTGGATCAATGTTTTTCCCATTCCTAGCTTCATGTTTGATATTTGTCCAACTCATTGCATGTTCTTAAAAGATCTTAGTTTTTTTCACTTATTTTGATCAAAAGCAACAGTTTCCCATTCAGGATTTTCTATATGGCAGGCTACAAGAGACACTTTTAAATAGTCTTTAAAGTGCTTTCTTAATTTATACTGAGTTTGAATGCTGTAGAGCAACTTGTTATAGGGCATTAATTTGGCTATTATGATGTTGTCAAGGTAAATGACATGACTTGCCCAATGTGGCCTGCCATGTTAAATCTAAGTGTCTGCAGTACACAACCCATGTCTCACATGAGTATAGCAGGCATATCAGTACACAGCATTATGGGTTCCTGGGCAAACAAGTGTGCTGGGCCCCCATGACAACCACTCATGGGAATAAAAAGTAAATGGTTGACAATATTAAACATATATTTATTTTATTGGCACTTCAACAAAACTGGTGTTAAAACATTAAAAACATGCTGTATAGCAGCAACTAATCAACATGAGATAAACATTTGAACAATACACAAGGCTTGAAAAACACAGTATGAAATTACTACAAACTTATTATAACAAGCATTTGCGGCATTTCTTTTCAGAGAATTGCTTTATTATTGGCTTAAAGTCAATGGTTTTCAGGAATAGGATATCATTTTCCATGCACATGATTAAAAAAGCCAGTTCAAACGATGCTGCCCCATTGTGCTACAAAGCAAATCTTATATATAAAGTACAGTGTATGTGTGTTTGTGTGTCTAAGCAACTTCTCTGCTCCCACTGGTCCGATTTCAATGATTCGTAGCTCATTCAAAAGCCCTAGAAAAGTTAGGTGCACTGAATGATTTTTTATTGAGCTCAGATTCAGGGTTGCCAGATTATGCAAGGTTAAAAATATATCTTAATCATACTTATTATAAAACCCAGGTTGTGTGTGTGTGTGTCTGTATGTTTATATATTGGATTGGATTTCCTACATTTTTCAACCGATTTCAACAAAACTTCACAGGACTACGTAAAATTACCTTGCGATGGTTCTGACAGTGCCAAAAATTCGAAAAATACAATTATTTTTGCACAAAATCAATTTGAAAACATGATTAAGAGGCATCGCGAGAATGAAAGGGGGATAACTCATATCGAGTTATACTTATTATAAAACCCAGGCTGTTTGTGTGTGTGTCTGTTTATATATGGGATCAGATTTCCTACATTTTTCAACCGATTTCAACAACACTTTTTTTTTTGGCAGGTATGCTTTAAAAATTCCATTTACAAGACAATTGTTTATAATAAAATTCTATTCAATCGGTAGACTCATAACGATTGAAAACCATGTTTTTGTTTGAGTTTGGGTTTGACCAATTCGTAAAAAAAAAAAAAACTAATTAAGACATGCGTGTCCGTCAACCTTAAACAATAATCTTTGTCAATTTTATTTTTCAGTCTTTATGATGGTTGATACTTGATCTAACACTTACTGTTACATTCCTGGGCAACGCCGGGCTCTACTGCTAGTATATTATACAAGCCATTATCATTGCTTTCATGATTCAAGGGGAGTAACTCTTATTTTCTTTTGGTAATCAAAATTACAGCTAGCTTAAAATTTTAAGCTAGTTAAAATTTTAAACTAGCTTAAAAGCCACCCTATGCAGTAAGTTTTCAGAATATTTTAGAGCATTTCTTTCATTCAAAATTTGTATATTTCATGTTATTTTTCTCCATGTTACTTTTGTGCATAACAACAGGTTACTAAATAAAATGTCTACACTTGCCTTGATCCTCAAGAAATGCATTAACATAAAAGGTTTTTCTCTTGTCATTTCTTTCATTATAAAAATTGTGTGTAACATTTTTCATAAAGTACACAGATAGCATCCTAATCTGAAGTACCAATCAGTACATAAATAATCCTATCATTTTTTATGGGTATTATGCTAGTTTTATTAATAAAACAGGTTGATGTGTGAGTGACAATAGAGCAAGTTCTAGTTAAATAGTTTTATGTTTTATGATCCAAGTCACCTGATTCAATAAATGTACTTAAGAAAATAGTTACTTATTAAAAAAAACACTTCTTATTGGAACATAATTATAATGTAGAATATAAGTGCTATGCAAGAGCAAGCAGATGCGGAGTCATATTATGAAACCATAGCAAATAAAATTCATAGCATATGCCTTCTAAAGGTTTAAAAGATAGCACATAGCCCAAAAGTTACAAATAAAGCACTTTTAGACAAATGTCTGTGGTGAGAGTATTATAGTGATTTTAAACCTTATGGTAAGACAGCTTGATTACTTCCCCTATCTTATATAGTTGCTAAATATGATACAAATTAAACATATTTTACAATGCTGCAGAAAGAAATATAAAGGGGAGACAGGCTGCCCCTTTAAGGTAAGGCTTCAAGAACACCAAAATGTAGGGAAGTCATTCACCAGTTGGTGGAAATCTGGACAATGACCCTCTTAAAATAGTGTAAACATATAAAAGGGCCCTTATCTGTTTTGAGTTACTTATCATTTGTTAAATAACATTTCAAATGAAGAGAAAGTTAGCATTTTCCAAGAAAACAAGTATTATCATATCAAATGGTTTGTATAGATTTATCATGGCTGACTAAGCAGACATGATCAGAGAGACAAAAATCATAGTAAAATTTAATAAGGACTATAACAGCCTAATTAGATTAAATTAAGTCCAGAGTAATACATAACTTTCTTTAAAGGATAAAATACTACATTTTCATTTCATTTCCTTTTATATTTCTTTGTAATTTCAGATTTTATTAAGTGAAAGCAACACTGATGGTACCTTGGTGTATTTACCTTACCTCAAAAAAGTTATTTATTATACCAAAAAAGAAAGAGTAAGTACAACATTATTATAACATTTTTTTTGTATATTTTTTTTTACATTGTATAATTAGAACTAAGAGATTTCATTAGCTAATATATATATTTTTTAATTTTTACATAATCTTTCAGTTAGTGATCTTGAAACTTCTGGAATTTTAGTGCTACTGTATATTAAAAAGACTAATACTTACTAACTTCACATTGAGACCCACATCAGACCCTAGGGGAGGGCTTATCTCCCTTATGTAACAATTTTCCTACTTTTTTGTATTAAAATTGTTACATGAGGGAGAGTCAAAAGTCAATCCCTAATACCTGAGAAATTCTACTGATGAAGTACCAAAAGGACCTGTGCAATTTTTATTTCTAATCCCATGTATGCATGGGATTCTCACTTTAAATTTTTTTTAAGTGAATGGATATGATTTTTTTTTATCATACAACAAAAACAGTACATTATAGTGAGATTTAATACAGAAGCTAATAATAATAATTTGATATAAGACCTAATACAGGATCTTGTAAAGTATCAAATGCAAGATGATCTAAGGGTAATACATCTGTTTCAATCCAGTGCAATATTTTATCTTCTGAATTGTTTGATTTTTCTAATGATTCATTGTTGAACTTTAGTTTTGATAGAGGATCTACATGTGGAATAGTGTTTCCTTTCACATATTTGATATCAAAGTCAAAGGCCATGAGTTTTATGGACCATTTTAACATTCTAGATGTAACTTTATGAAACTCCTAGGGGTTAAAAATAAAGTCCAAAGGTTTATGGTCACATTTAAGCAGAAACTTCCTGCCTAATAAAAATTGCTGAACTCTATTTGTGCACCATATGATAGATAATGCTTCTTTTTCAATATTTGAATAGTTTGCCTTGGCTGACATTAACCTTCTAGAAAGGTACATTATAGGATGACTTTCTTGAGACAGTAATTTTTACAATGGGTTGTTTTATAAGTTCTTTCTTTAAATTTTCAAATGCTGTATTCTACCATTAAGTCCATTTAAATTCATTGTTCTTTTTTTGTAACTCTGCAAAAGGTTCTGTCAATTTACTATACTTTTGCAAATGTCTGCTGTGTGACACTATTTAGCTATGGTAATTGGCTAACTAATTAACCATAGAAATTGAAACAAGAAAATACTGAGAACGGAAAAGAAGATACCCCGAAATTTCTATTTTTTTTCTCAAAGACCCATAAATCAGCATAGACAGTAGACTCACAGAAAAGCCATATGTGAGCTTTTTGACAAGTGATTAATGTTGTTTGTAAAAGAATGCTTGCACGAGATTCAGAAAAAGCAAAGTGTTGAGATATTGGGCAGGCCATATGGATCATAAAAATTTTGGCCCGAGATGATTTGTCGATAAGGGGTAAAGACAATATAATATTGATTCTCTCTGTCTTCTCATGATATCATTTTTTTTTTTTTAATACCGGCAAGGCAGGGTCATATAACGATATGGTGATTATAAAAATTTTGGCATGAGATGATTTGCCGATATGGGGTGGAGAGAATTGTTATTATTTACTTTTCCAAAGTGTTGTCTTCAGGTGCCGACATGTTGAGTAGCAATATGGGGATTATAAAATTTTGGGCATGAGAAAAGATATTGTGGAAGAATTGTGATTTGGGAGATAAGAAATTTAATTTCTCAAGAAGCCAAGGGTTCCAATAAAAGCTAACTTCATGAAGGGACCAAATGGCAGACTTTGACAAGTGATTGATGGAATTTGTAAAGGGTGCTGGTTAAGAAGACTCTGAGTGACCAAAAGATCTGAGAGATTTTAAGTGGGATTCGTAAACATTTTGGCTGATGGGAACAAAAGAATTTTGCAAACAAAAATTCTGGGTTATAATTTTAAGGATCCCAGCTTAGCCACACCTGCATAGCCGGGATGCCATTGGTCGAGTAGTAGCAATGGTGATAGGCAGAGGTATTTCGATGAGAAGGATGGGGAAGTTATTAATGCCCATTGAAGGGATTGGTGTGAGGTATGAATGTAAGAGAGTGAGAGTTTAGGAGGATAGCTCTTCTCTGACCTCTCCTCACGGACGAAGAGATCCCCCCAAAATGGAAAGTGATTAATTTTCCAAAAATGAGAAGTAATCAATTTTCCTGGCCTGACAACAAAGAGATTTCTTGTTGGAAATTGAGATTTACTGAGAACCCCAGACTGCATCTAACGTCGCACCGGTTCTTGGTCAGTACCTATATAAATGAACGCCCTCGGGCCGTTCAATCATTAGAGTGAGTACAGACAGACAATCAGAGAAATCAGAGCTTGAGTGAGCAGTTCGAATTGCAGAAACCAGAGTGTTGCCTCACAGAAGTTGACCAAGAGATTCCACGACCTCCGACTTCACCTATCCTACCAATAGCAAGTTATACTGATGAACAAAGCCAAGCCAGCACCTAAAAAACTAAACCAGTTGACTTAAGATACCAAAACTTGCTTAAGAAACGTAGAAGTGTCACACTCTGTAGAAAACGGGCTGGGAGAAAAACACACTCCTGTATATAACAGACGGATAAAGTTAATTTGTTATTTTTTAACATATTGAACCACTTGGGTTTTTATTTGCTTCTTTTTTCTTTACGCTTGTGCGATATCACCTCCAGTCTAGACTCATCTTACACTACGGCCCGACGCCTGATTGATCTCATCTACCTAAGATCAAAATCATAACGTGGGTAGGTTAGACTTGAGATCAAAGCAGTTACTTCGGTAACCAGATGTTGGAAGTGAGCTGGGAACAACGGAGCTGGTGTCAAACTGGTTGCAGCTGGTGTGAAGCCGTTAGCATCGACTGACCATCCCACTTGGTACCCTGACCAAAGGATTCCGCCAGGTAGCGACGACCAGGATTTCACCCTGGATGGGCCAGTTTCACATATTGGTACCCTGACCAAGGGATTCTACCAGATAGCAATGACCACCGATCAACTGCGGCACAGGCTGGTGGCATTGACTAAGAGTCAATCCCAAAATGCCAGTGGGAGAAACATTACAGTTTTGCGCCGTGACTGGGAGTTGACCACAGACCGACAGCTCAGTGTCACAGGTGTAAACATTGGCTAACCCTAAAATAGATTCTAATTCTTTTTTATTTATAAGTGTAGATACCTCTGCTATTTTCTTTATCAAATTTGTGTCTGGTGAAATTCCATCTTTGGAAATCTGGTATCTCAGATATGTTATTGTGTCACAATTTAACACACATTTATTCTTGTTTATGGTTATCCCAGTATTTTTTAATGTTTAAAACATAATCTATTTTTTGTTTTAGCCCTTCTCTACTGATAGCACCAATACATTTATCACCTTAATAGATGAACATATTCTCAACATCACCAGTTAGCACATTTTCAATAGCTCTTTGAAAAATAGCACTTACTGTTTTTACACCATAAGACATATGCTTCTATCTGAATAAGCTAATTGTAGTGACCTCTTTATATTTTTCATCAATTTGTATCTGGTTATAGGAAGATTTGAGGTAAATTTTAGCAAAGTATTTAATTCCTGACAATGCATGAATAGCAGTTTCAATGTTAGGAATAGGAAACAAATCAGAGCATATTTTACACCTATTTTGTAATCCCCACATATCCTTAAATCTCCATCTGGTTTTCATAAAACAGTAATAGGTGAGGCCCAGTTACTACCACCAGGGGATCATGCTCTAAAATTCCTTGCTCCACCATTGTTTTTAGTTTAGCAACAATTAAACGCATTCATGCATGTGTATGCGCAGTCTGCAAGACTCAAAGTAAGAGGAGTGACTATTTTCTTTTAATTGAATGCTCACATTGTATCCTTTTAACATGCCATTACTTTCCAACTTCACACTGTTAATTAATTTGGTTGTATCCACTTTCACAGCATCTATTCCCATGAGTCCATGACTTTTTTCACATTTCAATATCATGATGGGAATAATTTTGAAGCATGTCAATCTCAAAAGTTCCTTCAAAACAGCCTAATATTTTGATGAAAGAGCCATCAAACTGTCTTCGTTTAAGCCAGCTTTTCTTTAATTTGGGTTTGTCTATTCATTCCCAGAAATTTATTGGTAATTAGCATGACATCACTTCCAGTATCTACTTGCATAGGAAAAGTTATACCACTCAATTTAATTTTTTCTCTGACACTTTTCTCTTTGTCTTTGTATTGCAAATACAGCTATATTTTCCTGAAGGGGGTTTAAATTATCTACCCTTTCTATTTTCCTTTTATACTTGCACACAGACTGGAAATGGTTTAGCTTTTCACAATTCCATCATTCTTATCCTAAATCTGGACATTTTATCTTGTCCTATTAATGCTTTTTATCACAGTATTTGCATTGCACAAGGTAATTCAATATACTGTATACTTTGGCATTACTCTTGGATGTATTGAATTTTTCAGTTAGCTCTAATTGTTGTAGAAACTCTATAGATGCATCCAAGGACATTTTAGTCAGTTGCAACTGTTCTAAAAATTTATGCTTGTACAAAGCATCACACATCAATTAATGTTAACTGTATCAACTCGCCTTCAGTGTTCATTTCTCCAGTGCCAAGCTTTTAAAACTCACAGAATCTGGAAGCCTCTCATGGCATGTGTACATACTGTATTATTGTTTTGTTCAGTTCTTGTTTGCTTGTGAGAAATTTGTCCTCTCAGCAATAATCAACTCCTTTTTTGGATGTAAATTTCTATTTATAATGTCAGAAATTTGTGAAAAGGACAAATCTGCCAATTCTCTGGGATATGTCATGACAGATGTTTCTGATGGCCTCAAATCCTGTTGAAGCAAAAAAGAGATCTTTAATCTCTCCTGTAACTTTGTGGTCTTTAACTTCTTGGTCTGCATCTGGCCAGCAAAACAAGAAATCCATGTTTCCACAAATCCGGCTCATCCAACATTGTTAGAAATCCTATCAGTAATGCCATATTGTTGTGATGTCTTCTAGTCTGTGATGTAGAAGTTATCCCTCTGTGCTGAG